CCCCTCCCTTCCCTCCCTTCTTTCCCTCCTCCCTCCCTTCCCTCCCTTCTTTCCCTCCTCCCTCCCTCCCTCCCTCCTTCTTCCCCCCCTCCCTCCCTCTCCCACACCCCACTCACTCATATACGATCCCTCGCTCTCTCCCTCCCTCCCTTCCCCCATCTACCTTTCCCTCTTCCTCTTTTTATTTCTACTTTTCTTTATATTTCTCTCACTTCTCTTAACACATTATTACACACTCACTCATGCTCGATCTCCCTCTTCCAGAAGCTGCTTTAATAACTTAATTTTTATGTATTTTGCTTTATTATTCTTGATTTCCCCAATTCCCTCTTTCTTTACTTTTTTTTTTTTTTTTACTAATCATCTGTATCATTTCCTCTTTCTCTCTTCCTCTTTCCTTTTTTCCTATTTTCCTCCCCCTTTCCCTTCGCCCCCTCTTTTCCTATTTCCTCACCTCCCTCTTTTCCTTTTTCCTCCCCCCTCCTTTCCTTTTTCCTCCCCCCTCCTTTCCTTTTTCCTCCCCCCTCCTTTCCTTTTTCCTCCCCCCTCTTTCCCTTCCCCCCCTATTTCCCTTTTCCTCCCCCTCTTTCCCTCCCCCCCTCTTTCCCTTCCCCCCCTCTTTCCCTTCCCCCCCTCTTTCCCTTTTCCCTCCCCCCTCTTCCCTTTTTTCCTCTTGAGTGCAATTGCATGACACCGCAAACTGTTTTCATTTGACGAAAGTAAGAGCTAGCTTGCACTATTATTGCCATCAGTGGAGCATCGAATTGTTGAGGGAATGCCACGTGGGGGACGATTTTCTGATGTGTTTTAGTTCAGGGTTGCGTAAATGATTTTTTCCGTAATAAAAGATAAAAAGACATTGTGGTGTGTGTGTGTGTGTGCGTGCGTGTGTGTGTGAGAGAGAGAGAGAGAGAGAGAGAGAGAGAGAGAGAGAGAGAGAGAGAGAGAGAGAGAGAGAGAGAATGAATTTTGTATCGATAAGCGCCGTTTAGATTTAATCAAATGGCTCAGGTGATAGAGATTAGATAAAAAAAGTACCTTATAGAAAGTACTTGCGCAAGTTATTGACTGTTATTTGTTCAAAGAAAGCCACTTCACCGAATGAGATTGAGTTGATCTTGCATTGTTTGGGGGAAAAAAGTTTGCTTTTATGAATGTTGACCTTCGAAGTAGAGATGACGTCACATCTTGCTCACTTCTGCTCTCGCTCTCTCTCTCCCTCTCCCTCTCCCTCTCCCCCCCTCTCTCTTTCTCCCTCCCTCCCCCCCTCTCTCTTTCTCCCTCCCTCCCTCCCTCTCTCCCTCTCTCCCTCTCCAATTCCTCTCCAGAGTAATGACACTCAGTTGTGGGCGCCGGAAATCACTTCAGTATGATTTTGTGGCATCTTTCATAACTGACCAGTGGCGTGCGCATGCGCGGGTGTGGTCATGCGTGCACATTTATCTGGATCACTTGCATGCGTCGGCACGTTTAGCGGGAGGTACGATAAGCGCTTCCTAATCTCTTAAGATAGAAAAAAATCTTAGTCTGCCATTCTCTTTTATGAAATATTGTTTTATGCATTAAAAGCATCTGGAATCTTCTATCTGTTCTCGTCTTTTCCCTCGCTCTTCCCCCCTCCCTTTCCCTCCTCCCTCTTCTTCACTTTCCCTCCTCCCTCTTCTTCACTTTCCCTCCTCCTTCTTCCCCCCTTTCCCTCCTCCCTCTTCCTCCCTTTCCCTCCTCCCTCCTCCCTCTTCCTCCCTTTCCCTCCTCCCTCCTCCCTCCCTTTCCCTCCTCCCTCCCCCCCCTCCCTTTCCCTCCTCCCTCCTCCCTCTTCCCCCCCCTTTCCCTCCTCCCTCCCCCCCTCCCTTTCCCTCCTCCCTCCCCCCCTCCCTTTCCCTCCTCCCTCTCCCCCCCTCCCTTTCCCTCCTCCCTCTCCCCCCCCTCCCTTTCCCTCCTCCCTCTTCCCCCCTTTCCCTCCTCTCCTTCGCCGCCCCCCCCCCCCCCTTTCGTATGCACAAGCAGAGGCCGCAGACGTCAGCGGTATTTTGCACAACAAGCCCTCGTGTCGCCGTTCTTGTAATGGCTTCTGCTCGAATCCCGGGTTCCATTTCATCTTGCATTTTGATCAATTTCTTCTTGAATATTTGCTCTTTTGAAACACCCGTGCTCAACTTTTTTATCTCCTCTTGACTGTTTGTTTTTTTCTTTCTTTCTTTTTTTTTCTTTTTTGCAAGCATCTGGACACGCTTGGGTTCATTTTCCGTCCATCTATCTATCTCTCTCTTGCCTCCCTTTCTCCCCTTTTCTCCCCCCTCTCTGCCATTTCTACCTCTTTCTTTTCCCTTCTCACCAACCACGCGCGCCGTCTTAGCTTGTGTTTGGATCAGCGAGACTTCAATTCAGCGAGACGGTAGCATGGGTGGGTGGGAGGGGGGGGAGAAGGGAGGCAGGACGGTGATGTCTTGGGGTTGGGATCGGGTGGGAGGGGGGGTGAGGGGAGAGGGGGTTGAGAGTGCGGGTGGGGTAGAGGTGAGGTGGAATATTATACTTACACAGACACTTACTCACACACGCACACACATACATACATAGGGAGACGCACACGCATCGTGCCCTGAGCGCTCAAACATCAGTGTCCCGCAGCGTGCTAGCGTGGGTGACGGTTGGAGATCTATCACCATTTTGCCTTTTTTCCCCCGCGCGATTTTTTTTTCTTATATTCCTTTCTTTTTAGCTCGTTTTCTTTTCCCCTTCTCCTTGTGCATTTTGCTTCCCCCTTTCTCCGGAAGATCGTCTAGGTTTTGTACCATCAAAGGGAAGTGATATTTTTTGTCCTTTTTTTATTATTCGTGACGGTTACTTCCTCTTTCGTAATTAACGGTTCTTGGAGAAGAAAAAAAAGAGGATAGTTAGATTATTTATCGGTATTGAAGTGTACTTTGTTTGCGACAGTTGATATACGTAAATTACAATAAATCAAACTAAATAAATCATAATAGTTTGTGGCTTAACTTCTAATTTGGACAATGTTTAGTGAAGTGAAGTGCATTAATGATGTGGTGTTCAATTTGTTCCTGAGGTGGGCGAGATATAGTGTAGTGAACACTTGATATCTTTGCGAAAATTTGATAAAATAGTAAAGACTTGATATCTTTGCGAAAATTTTATAAAATTTGTGGGGCAATTCCCTGCGAGGTAAAAGGAGTTTTTTTTTTTAATCATCATTATTATTGTTATTATTAGTATTAGTATTGATATTGATATTACTGTTATTATTATTATTGTTACTATTATTGAGTTTTAGTCACAGCAAAATTAAATAGATTAGAATAGTTAAAAATTTCATTAGCCTGTAATGGTAATTATGTCATACAGTGGCACTTTCATTGACTTGTAACACCCTTTGTGAAGAATGTTAGTTTTTACATGTCTGTTATTTTAGCTGCCTGTTTCCATAAGTTCTTGTAGAGGAGTCATTGTAAGCATTTCACCCATTGTTGCATGTGATTTAAATTTAGTTGCATCACTACCTTAAAAATGGAAGCCATGAAACCTAGGCGTATACCTTCATCTTGGAGGTCCTCCCTGTCATCACCTTCTGTAAGACCTAACTCTCTCTTCCGTTCATTTACTTCCTCTACCCCTCTCAGTAAATACAAGATTGTTCATAACCGACAAGGAACTCATTATTTTTGGGTAAATTATTGTTGTATATTGTTATGATGGTTTTGTATATTTTCCAATACATGTGATTCCCCTTCCCATTTTCTTTTTACAGGACCTGTTATGCTAGAACAATGTACTTCCTTTATTGATTAATTTTTACAGTAGATTATTTTTCTTTGAACTGTTCTCCAAACAGTTATAGCAGGGTCCTGCTATAACAACTCCATTTCTTTATAGGTGATGATCATTAGTTTCTTTCGCAGGTATTAAATCGTTCCATGGACCCTCGTACATATGAACAGCAGCAGCCACTGATTGCACAGCTGCCCCAGGTACCGCTGCTCCCACAACAGATCATCACCTCAGGGACCCGCAAGGACTGTATCCGTCTCCGAGGACTGCCATTCGAGGCCCAGGTGGAACACATCCTTGAGTTCCTTGGTGAACATGCAAAAAGCATCGTTTACCAGGGTGTCCATATGGTTTACAATGCACATGTAAGTTCCCATGTTAAAATCTTTTGTTGTGTGTTTCTGGCAGGCTCGTGAAATTGTTTTTATATTGAGTTTCATTTAACATGTATGTTATCTATACATGGTGGTGTAATTATAAATTTTTGCTGGTTATTTTTCTCTATTTCTTGCTTTTTTAACATCATATCATTTTACAGGGACAGCCAAGTGGAGAAGCCTTTATCCAAATGGACAGCGAACATTCTGCATTCCTCGCCTCCCAGCAAAGGCATCATCGTTACATGGTGTTCGGGAAGAAGCAGCGTTACATAGAAGTCTTTCAGTGTTCAGGGGAAGACATGAACATGGTGCTGACTGGTGGCCTGCCAACTCAAAGGCCCGTCATGTCCCCGGGTATGTTGGTGTGGGACACCGCAGCCCTGCCTGGGAGTCTTCCTCACCCACTTAGTGTTCCCCCTCCTGGTACACCTCGCCCCCAGGGGCCCCACTTCCTTGGTGCAGCTCATCACCCCCTTCACCCTCCAGCCCATGGCCCTGTGCTTTCTGGTATACCTCCAAGCCCTATTAAGCAAGCTGATGCTCCCCTTCTCCTTCCTCCACCTATGGGCCCCCCTCCTCCAAGGCCTTCTTTGGTTCCACAAAATCCTCTTGAGTTACCTCATTCTTCTCAAGCTCCCCCTACCCTCATGCCCCCTCCCTTAAAGCCTGCTGAGTCAGGAATCCATCCTCCTCTCATAGGACAGTATGGACACATGCCAGTTACATCACAGATAAGTACAGGCAGTAATCCAGTGTTTCTGCTTTCCAATGCACGAACATCCCTAGCAAGTGGGCTTCATCCACAAGTAACCTTGGTGCCAGTGTCATCATCTCAGGCTAGAGATGCTCAAGGTGCACAGGGTATTCAGAAACCCCCAGTGGGACCACCTCTCCTCCCAATGCCTTATGCAGCAGCTGCCGCTGCAGCTATGGCAGGAGCGAGGTTGCCTGGAACACAGAAGCGGAGCTTTGAACAGGCTTTCCCAGGGGACACAGGTGCTGCTAGCATTGGAGCAATGAAGCGGGGCCCTCATGTGAATCCTTCCCTCTTTCATCCCTTGTACCCTCCTCCCCAGATGTTCCCCACTATGTAATACTCAATACCCGTGCTGCGTAACACACACCTGTATATATTGGTAGGAGAGGCAAAGATATCAGTGTAATGGGAGTCATGGCAGGTGTAAGAAGTGACCATTTAGGAAATAAACACAACTCCTAACAAGGTATTTTAGGATTTGTGTAAACAAATGCCTTAATGCTCACTACATTTTGACCTTTCCCATCAACATTGTGATTTTATTATGTGTGTGTGTGGTGCAGCAGCATTCTGTGTGTGCAATCTGCTGTTACTCTGGTGTGCTGCACCTGTTGTTGCCAGCAACTCAAACACTGCTGGCCAACATTGTGTGGCTGCTGGGAGTGTTCTGCTGCAGGGTGGATGAGCCTTAGTTTTTTTAAGTGTCTCTTAGATGGGTGTTAGACAGAAACTCAACTGTGCTGGTTGGAGCAAGAAAATGTTCTCTCCCGGCTTTTTCAGTGTTTTTTGCTGGGAAGAACATTACTGTTGTATAATGGATTTTAATATAATTTTATTAACTAGATTCATAAGTTCATATTAAGAGTCTTGCTCACAATCAACCACAGTTGTTTCATCCTCTAAGATCTATCCATGATATGTCCCTGCATATGTATGTGTGTGTATACATATATGTGTGAATCTGTGGATGCATTAATGTGTGATTGAGTGTGTGCTTGTGTGTGTGTCTGAAGGAAAGCGTGAGTGGAATACAGTATATTTGTAGGTGTGAAGGTGTAAGGCAGCTGTTGTGTACACGGCTGCCCTTGTTATGGCTGGGTGGTACTTTCCCACCTTTGACCTGCTTCTTGCTCATGAAAGGTGAGCATTCATGTAGTGTTAATATTTTTAGTTTTAAGTTAAACTTTGACATAGTAGAGCATATAGAATAGGACATTAGCAGCCGTGTGTACATGAGCAGTTGGTTGGCTGGCAGTGTGGCGGTGGTGGTGGTGTGGTGGTAGATCAGTCCACCACAGTGGGAACTTGTGCAGTGGACCCCACAGTGGGTCCTGGTAGGACATAGGTGCTGGCCTCAGGACTTGGCAACTTGACGTTTGTATAGATCATAATATAAATGATTGAAAGGGTTATGACAGACTAACCAATCTCCCTGTGTATGCACTTGCATATTAGTTTTTTATGTTCCAAGAAGATATTTCTGGTGTAATTTAGTTGCATAGTGACAAGACTGTTAAGTCCTGTGGCCATGTGCCCCCTTTGCTGGGCTGTTAAGGGGCCTGATGCGGGGGGCAACGTGGTCCTCTAACACTTCTGTAATACATTCCACTAAGTGTGATATCTGCACCATTGTTATTTTGTGTGTACATTCAGTAGTTTTTCTCTATTGTTATAGCTTCATATTTAGTTCAGTTTTTGAACATTTTCAAGGCTTATATAACTTGTTACTTCATTAAAAATCTGGTTCAAACCAGAAGAGTACATTTAAGTGTGATATCTGACTTGGAGTCAGCCCAGAAAATGTTCCAGATGATAATTTGACTTACCTGGACTTTGGTGTGTACGCCAATATTACTCTGCTAAGACCAATAAAGTCTGTTAAGATATTCCCAGTGGTTTCTGGTTCCGGTGTATGGGTCACCTCTCATCTTCTATATCAAACAAAGCCACTCTCTGATATGAGGCTCGTGGGCCTGGCAGATTAAGGTAACAAGGTAGGCAAGAGCTTTACACCTTTTGTGGTTGCAGGCTGCATTCTGGTGTTGTAGTGGCATTGTGTAGCTGTTTTTGTAGTTAAGGTGGTGGGTAGATATGGTGGTGGGTTGTGTATGGTGTTGGCTTTGGTGGAGGTGCTGGTGATAGTCAAAATAATGGGTGACTGTGCATGTATTTAACACGTATGGGGGCTATGGTGTATGTGGTGTGGTAATGGTATGGGTGCATGTGGTTACCTTGGTGGTGGTAGTATTTGTTGGGGGCAGCAAAACTGTAGAAGCAGGCAGAGCGTGTATATACAAAATTATAGTGAAAATAATCATGATACTAAGCAAGTTGATCATTAGGAGTCAAATTATCTCCACATAGAAAAAATGAAGAATGCACTCTGCCTCTTCACCAGCAGTTGGTGGTAGTCGTTAGAATCATTTCTAAATACATCTCCCTGTATTGAATGGCTGAAATTTGGTAAAATATCCAGTGTAGTGTTACTAAGTGGGAGATATCTTAAGCATTGATATCCATTTTATAAATTGTGATCTCCAATATTCACTTCATATTATTCATTTCATATATATATTTAGT